TACATTGATCAAAGGTATCCTTTCCCATCACATTATCAAACTTCGTAACTAGGTCTTGCTGAATATCATCTTCGTCCATGTCGGGTGGCACCCAATATGTTCCGCTGAGGGCTCTCGCCATGGGATCGTCTGGAACCCCCAAAGGAATGCTGGATGGTTGGGTGGCGACAAGTTCAATCGCGGCAATTGAGTCAAGTAGCTCTCGCGCTGACGCAGGTAAATTCTCTACAGCTTCTTCCACCAACGGAGATGGCGACATTTCAAGGTCATTTGTGAGAGGACCACCATCAAGGGTATCGTCGACTAAATGGGGGTGTGAGGTAGGGCCGAGGTCAAGGATATCGTCGAGGGAAAGGGTCTGAGTGTCATTGACATCATGGACAGGTTCAATAGTAGACTGAGGTTCGGCGTCTGGATTCGAAGTCGACTCAACATGATGTGCCGTAGAACCAGCGCCAGAAGCGTGAAGGACCTTGGCTGATTGCTTTAATACATTGGCAACAACCTCCAAGCATGGCAGCATATTCTTCGTGTCAGCCACTGTCCAGCGGGTTTCAGCCTTCAAATGATGAAACCATGTCATCATGGTATGGTAAGCATAGAACCCCTGAGGAAGTAGCTCTCGGAGGCGCGCGTAGGGCAGGGCGTGATCGAAAGCTGCCGCGGCGTAATTGGAAAGAGGAAAGAGAGCAACCGGGGGGAAAATATACGGCGAATGGAATAAGCCGAAGAAAGGATCCTTTGGATCTTGGAGATACGGTCGAAGTGTGGAGGGACGGTGGCTATCGTCGAGGATGGCATTGGCCAGGAAGTGGTATCGTGCGTCAATGGCCTTGGCCTCTTCCTTCGAGATGAGTGAAGGCTGGTCCTCATGTACGCCTTCTCTCGTATCCGGGCTAGGTTCACGGCTGTTAGCCGGGGGAGGGGTGGGCTCCCGGCGAGGTTGCCTTGGGCGAGTCGAGTTAGAAGATGAGCCGGTGTTCTTTGCCGAAATTTCTTGCTGGGCTTTGTTTTTGGCAGCGCGAGGGGGCGGTATTCGTGAACTGGGTACCGGTTTGGGGTCAGGCGGGGGGTCGTCTGGAGATGACTTGTCAGCCGAGCCTTTTGAAGTCGTCGCCTTCGACTTGTGATGCGCATTTTGAGTCGCGTTAGTGACCTTCTTGGGGGTGGTGGTGTTCGATGCCGATGTCGACGGGCCGTCCCCCCCTGGCGATTGTTGAGTAGGATTGCCCGCCCCACGCAGCCGTTTGCGATAGTCCTCTTCATCGCCACTTGGGTTGAAGAGAGGTTGTTTATTTGATGCGGGCTTTCGAAGGCCCCGGACATGAACCAAAGAGTTGGGATCGTTCGTGTATGCTCCATTTGCAAGTTCTGAGAACGAAATAAAAACAAATCAGGAATCTGGTTGAAGTTGCTTAGAGTATACCAACTTACTAAATAAATCGTCCTTGACGGTCTTTCCTGCGGCTTGCAAAGCTTCATATAAATTGCGTGAATGATGCGACTGAGCGAGTTGTGAAGCTATCCACTTGCGTTCCTTCTCCAGTTGGGCTTTGTAAGGTTCAATTTCAACGTACTGACGTTGGCCTTTGAGGAGGGAAGACTGTGGGGTAACTAAGATGACGCTTGCTTCGCGAAGGCGGGGAACTTTTCATCATAAAACAAACGCGGGCATGTCAGCTATTGTTTTTTATTTTTGAAGAAAATTTGAAAAACAAAATCAATGTTCTTTCAGGCATCGAAAAAGACTTTACCTGGGGTACGGCTGGTGGGATTAGGCACTCCAGAGGTCGTCTCTTCAGACTCGGAGTCTTCCTCCGCAGGCTCAGACGAACTGCTTATCGAAGCCTGTGAGCTTGTGCGGCCTTTTCCCTTTCCCTTCGTTTGTTTCGCGGCTTGTGCAGCTCGCAGTCTTGCCATTGCAGCCTGACGAGGGGGAGCTTCGCGGAATGTGTTCATGGACATAGGATACGTGGTATGGTTTTGATTTTAGTATGATAAGTAGAATTGATTTCAAAACTTAATTTGATAAAATGGAAACGAAGCTGGTAATAAGGAAATAAAAATATTCGTGAAAATAGCGCACAGATGAAGGTATACGGTTCTACAAATAAGTAATTGAAAAAATGGCTACGTTCAAGGTAATCCAACTCTTGACTCGAAATTGTCTTTTAAATTTTTCGGAGATAATTGGACTCAGGACTCGAACTTCTTCAACTTATTTTGAATGGAACGTGAGATATTCTGAATCCTCGTGTGGACAAGTGAGCTTCTTGCGCAAGAGTAGTAGAAACAATTCCTCAAACAATTCCTTTTCTTGATCTTGAGTATGATGACTATGAGATGATACCCTGCGGAGTGAACTTTTTTGACTGGTCTTGAGGGTACATATGTAAGTAAAAGCAATCACAACCTCCAAACAGATGTTCCAAAGGGAACTGGGACGGAAGAATGGAAGCATGGTTTGTCAGTGAGGATTTCGTACAGGAAGAGGCATTGTGAAGAACCTAAATAAGAGATGAATACTTCTTCGTCAAGGTTTGGTATGAATTGAAACCGGTGGGAGATTTTGTAAAGAAACCGGTGAGAGACTGTGAAATGAGACGTGAGATCTTGAATTGAATTGGAACCGGTGAGCGATTTCAGTATGTTTGAATTGAAAGGTGTACAGCGGTGTGCGCCCGACGGAGTTCGGTATTCCTGGAATTCAACAAAGCGGAGGCGTTTCAATTAAACGATTGTGATCTAAATGAGAGACTGTACGTACTTTTTTTTGTCGATTTTTGGTATGAAGCGGTCTAATGTTGTATCAGACGGAATTGGAACTAATTGGAACTGATGGGAGATATTGAAACGAAAGCGGTGAGAGAGTTTGAAATGAAACGTGAGATTCCGAATCGAAGTGTGAGAGATGCTGATTCGAGTGAGTTCGGTATTCGTGGGATTGGCGGAGGCGTCCATTCAGTTGACGATCGTGATCGACATTAGGATCGTCGTGATCGACACGAAGATCGTGATGGTTCGGGACAAAACGACATGTACTGACTGCGCCACCAGAAGTCAGAATTTATACTATGTCCCGGGGCCCCGGCGGCCCGACGCGAGCCCCGGGTACCGGGGCCTGCTCTATTTGATCGATCAAATAGAGCAGGCCCCGTATATATCCGGGTGTTTCGAATCGAGTTCGGGGCCTGATCTATTTGATTGATCAAATAGAACAGGCCCCGTATATATCCGAAGCTCGCGGATATATACGGGGCCTGATCTATTTGATTGATCAAATAGAGCAGGCCCCGATGTATCCGTGTAGAGCGGGGGGCATCGGGGCCTCCTCAACATGATCAATCATACGGAGTAGACCCCAAATGTTTCATCTGGCTAACAATTGTCTGCCAACATGATGAACTCAATTTCATTAACAACACAGCATGAAGTGTATTACAGGCCATCATCCTTGTTGTAACAAAATAATTTGCAGACTCCTTGTTGTAATCAATACTTTGTACACTCCTTGACGTTTATTGTGGTGAGTCTCTTATATATATATACATATATATAATTTGTATATTTGTATCTTTATATTATCCAACATGATCACATATATTTAAAGGCCATTGCTATTTGCAGCCCACAAGAGAACCATGTAGGCGCTGCCAAAACAGCGCCTACATGGGTGTTTCCCACGAAAAAGCGCCTACATTTATGATGGAGGCGCTGAAAACCATCTAAAATGACGCCTACATGATAAACAACCCATGTAGGCGTCATTTGGTTACGCCTACATTCAAAATTTCAGAATGTAGGCGTAATTTTCAAGCACCTACATATCTAATTTGAAATGTAGGCGCTATTTTTGAGCGCCTACATTCAATTTTCAGCTCAAATAAGCGCCTACATGCAGTCTTGCATATGTAGGCGCTCCAAATCCAACACCTACAACTCCAGACTGGTATGACGGCTAATGAAGAAGAAGTTTCAAGTTAAAATGAGAGTATTGGAAGATGGAAAAAGCAGTTCGGAGTTGAAATGAGTGTATCGGAAGATGGAAAAAGCAGCTTGGAGTTGAAATGAGTGTTTTGGAAGACGGAAAAAGCAGTTAAGCATATTGGAAGATGAATATGCTCTTTTCAACTCTGAAGTGAGTGTATCAGAAGACGTAAATAGCAGTTCAGAGTTGAAATAATCTACTTCTTTTTCCGCTTCTGATACACTCATTTCGACTCCAAACTGAGTTCAGAGTTGAAATAATTTACTACTTTTTCCGTCTTCTGATACACTCATTTTGACTCCGGAGTTACTTTTCCGTCTTCCGATACACTGATTTCAACTCCAAACTGCTTTATCCGTCTTCCGATACACTCATTTTGAGTCCAAACTGCTTTTTCCGTCTTCCAATACTCTCATTTTGACTTGAAGATTGTTCTTCATTACCCTTCAGACCAGTCTGGAGTTGTAGTTGCCGGATTTGTAGCGCCTACATATGCAGGACTGCATGTAGGCGCTTATTTGAGCTGAAAATTGAATGTAGGCGCTCAAAAATAGCGCCTACATTTCAAATTAGATATGTAGGTGCTTGAAAATTACGCCTACATTTCATTTTTTGAATGTAGGCGTAACCAAATGACGCCTACATGGGTTTTTTGACATGTAGGCGTCATTTTGGATGGTTTCCAGCGCCTACATCATAAATGTAGGCGCTTCTTCGTGGGAAACACCCATGTAGGCGTAATTTGGCCAGCGCCTACATGGTTTTCTTGTGGGCTGCAAATAGCAACGGCCTATTTAAAAACTGTGTACATATCGACAAATGATGTATGAATGTATAGCATCATTATAATTTCTTTGCCTCTTTTATATAATTGCAAATATCAGTCCGCCCTGTACAATTCGAATTACCCTTGTTTTTATATGATCAGATATGATTACATATATGTAAAAGATTTGCACATATATCCAAATGATCTATGAATGTACAGAATCATTATAATTTCTCTGCATCTTTGATATATTTTAACATATAAGTCAGCCTGTTACAATTTACTCTTCTTTTCAGTAATTTATTATGAGAGCATGGATTTACCACTCACAATTTGTGCACCTTGTAGAGTAACATCATAAGGTGGATTACAGGATATCACACTTTTTTGTAATATTTTTTCGTACACCCCTTGATGTCGGGCAGACGTCAGACACCTACATGTGACTGATGGTGCAGGGCTCTATTTCATTGATCAAATAGAGCAGTCCCTGAACAGTACAATTGATTTAGTCAGTTTAAATAGATGAAGATGACTCAAAATGTGAAGGTTGGTCTTGAATTTATGTCAGAGTTAAAGTTGTGAGAATGTGTCTTTCAAAAGTCCTTTGCAAGAAAAATTTAAGGGATTGAAGGTTCTTTTGGCATCCAAATTGTTCCTGATCACCTGCAAAATATTTCTTGCCAAAAGTGTGAATTTCATTTCAACAGTTCTTGAGATAGATAAATTGAACTATGTTGATTAAAATAACACACAGGATGTGCCACAGGACATCATTCCTCTTTGGAATACACTTTCATATCATCCTTCATGTCTATGGTGATGAGTAGCTTCACGAAGATGTGGAAAATCACCATCTTCAGGACATCAGAACATTGTATATGACTGATGCAGGGTCTGATGGGTGCATTGCCTCTTGCAGTAAGCAGCTAAGAGGATTCATGCACATCACTAGCTGTAGGTATAATTCACCATAGATAGAATTCACTATGAGCATTCAGCCAATCAAAGAATGTGTGACATCTAATGTAAATGTTACTAGGGACACCTCACAGCTCTTCATGGATCAAGTAGGTGGTTTACTACCACCTACTTAAATGCTTTACACCCAAATGCTTCACTACCACCTACTTAGATGGTTTACTACCACCCACTCAATCCATGAGGTTGGGTTCACCAAGGTACAAATAAATGGTGCATCCAACATCTTCTTCCCCTTTGATCAATTGTTTTTTTAAAGAAAAATGGCAACATTCCATATAAAAACCTATCCACTTCTTCCCTGCTCTGCTCCCTCTTCCTTCTACTTTACCATAATCTTTCACATCATTTTCAAGGTCCTCCACCAAGTCATCAACATCCTCCAACAAGTCAGTATCTGAATACCTTTCTTTCATCAAGGTGATCACTTTTCCAAAAACTTGAAAGCACCTTTTCACTTGGTCAATTGCTATTCCTGATCTCAGTCATCCTTGTGCTAAAGACAGCTCAGAGAACAAATGGAACCCGGCCAGATCTTGGAACCAGGAGTGCTAGGTCAGTATAAACCACAGATTTCTTTTATTACTTTTCACCACACGTCGCCACTGCAAATTAAATTCTTTTCCCCTAACCTAAGCTACTCATCATATTGGAACTTCTCAATATGATGTTATAATATGATTTTCCTCCTCAGATGGTATTATACTACACTTTTCAATTATCACATATCCGCCATCATACATCTATCTTCGACATGTATCATGGTGTGTGTGTATCCACATGCCCACTCATATCATGAAAATTAATATGCATATTCAATAGGTGATGTGTTGAATTGTGTAAATGCATTTGAATAATCACATCATGGATATCAATATGTATATCCAAATTATATACATACATAAAATGTCAGCCATTCATCATGAGCGGATACAATTTTTGTTGATGTGTCAAAAAGATTCCATTTTCATGCTTTTGGGTTTTTTCAACTTACCTCTCAAATATCTTGTCTCTGAAGTATTCCAAAAACAATCAATTTTTTTATTCTCTTTTGAACCAAATTGTCTGAAACTGAAAAATGTCCTCATTCTCTTGGCGGACTGCTTACCTAGGTGGTGCAGGGGATGGACCTGCACCTGCAGGGGAAGGACCTGCACCTGCAGCTGAAGAGCGGGACCCCTTTTTGGATGATCTAGAGCGTGAGCCATCAACACAGGTCTACTATTTTGGCACAAAGCTAACATCTTTCTGTGTTCCCAAACTGACCCAAGAGCACAATGAGGAGGAGGAGGAGGTCAATTATGTACACCAGGTTGTTTCTAAGTACATGAAGGGTAAAGACGGGGAGAAGAGAGCTGCTGAGCTGAAAGGAACTCGTGAGGAAGGCAGAGCCCAAAAAACAATCATTCCTACTGCTGCCACTGGGCTCAAGGCTGCTATCCACGAGTGGGCTAGAGCATTACTCGGAATCCCACGCCAGTCGTCTTCACCATCAGCATCAACATCGAACTTTACAGTCAGCAAACACCTCGAGCATCACCTGCCCGCTGCTGCTACCGATCGGGAGGTGCGAGAGTGGTTGAATTATGATGCTATGCGTACAAAATTTATAGATGATAAAGTGAAAGAGGAAATGGCACGCCGTCTAGCCGCAACGCCCAAAGCAAGCGACAAGACGAAGCACGATCTTAAGTTGAACGTCATCAAGCGGTGTACTGAGGCTTACGATTCTACTCAAAAACCTCCGGTATTCCAATCTAGACTGGCCCACGCCACCGCCTCAGTAGTTACTTATGATTCAACAAAGTTAAGATATGCTGAAATAGTTCTTTCTCAATGTGGATTTCCCCGATTGACCTTTCAGTGGGGTTCTCCAATTGCCACTCCTTGGAACCAGGCAACAATCAGCTGTCTAGTTAGCTCTTGGCTTGACTGCTACAATGCTAGAGGTGTACCATCAAGCTACATCATTGAGGATACTCTTGTTGAAGTTCCTAGATTAGCCAAGGAGATACTTACTCAGTGGGTTCAAGGCAAGCGCTCACTTTACAGCCAAGAAGAAAAGGAAAAGAAACTTGTTGCCGAAGAGGGAGGAGCAGAGAAACTGAGAAAGCAACTCATGAACAAGAAGGAAAAAAGAAGTATGAGGGACTTGAGGAAAGCAGTAAGTTAATTCTGTGATTGTTTTCAATTCTTAGTGGGACATCCATCTGATATATGGATTCTGTTAAGCTTGCTAAAAGTCGCCAGGCAGCCGTATTTAAATATACTGAAGGTTTCAACACAGCTACCAGATACTTTCTTTCAGACCCAGCTGTCCACTCTGAGACTGAGATGACCAACTGTAAGGTTCTATCAGAACCTTCACTGAGGGTCCGGATTCTTGTCCGGCTCGACTTCTCTCGAGAGAGCACTAACTTAGAACTTCGGTTTCTATTGCAACCTAGCTCCAGAAAGTCCCATACGTGGCTCTCTGAGGAGTCAGTAACTCTAATCTAGAAGAATACAAAGAAAGAGAGAAATGGGATAGAAAGACTCACCTAGCTCCAGAAAGTCCCATACGTGGCTCTCTGAGGAGTGAGGACTCTCCGAAGCCGGGCGTTGAGGAGAAAGGTAAGGAGACGCCTATCTAAACCCATGATACAAATCCCATACTTCCTGCCTATCCGTGTACCTCTTACACCAACGCCACAGCCAACACTCCAGCCGGCTTCAGACAAATCAAGCTTGCTTCACAGTGTCATTTTACTACTCACTGGCAGGCCAGTGAGTACGTCCACCTCAATCCAATCTCAATCCAATCTCAAATCCATGTCAGTTCAATATCAATCCAATCTCAATGTTTGGCCTAGAGTAGCAGACAAACAACCTTCCAGAATGAACTGGAATAAAGTCTGGTTGCATGTCCACACATGAAGGCGTCAGAATGTCTGGAAGGTTTGAGTGATTATGCAGCCCATCCGTATCCCCCACTCAAATATAACTGGAGGTCAAACTGATATTGAACTGACATTGAATTGAGATTGGATTGAGGTGAATAGAACTCACTGGCCTGCCAGTGACTAGTAAAATGACACTGTGCTTGGAGATCACCTGAGCTAGATGAATTGATTAAACTTGCAGACAAAGCTACCAAAAGCAGATGTGATACTGTTGCAAAACGCAAGAAAGAAGAACAAAAACAAGCCTTACGGGAAAATTATTCCCCTGAGAAGGTTCCGGCAGCAGATCAACTACCACCTAAAGGTTTTCCAAAGATGTTAGTTAAAGAATCCTACGTACAGGAGGAGCTAGATGAGATTGTGGTTGATGGTTTGGCTTTGAGTGATCAGAACATTGCTATCACGGACCTTATTGCACGCATCAACAAAAAACTTAGCCCTGCAAGCCAAATGAATACCACTTGATCAGTTATCATACCTTGATGGTTATCAAAGTACCCTTCTTTTCTCTCTCATGTACTACTATATGAAAAGCTTCAAGCTATGTTACCCAAGTTGATTTGTGTTTCAATTTTTATAAGAACAATTTTTTTTCTTTCAGGATGGCCTCTATTTGGTGTTTTGTGATATGAAAATGTTTATACCATGTTGTCAACTCACTTGTTACGATTTCAGCTCACCAAAATGCTTTGCACTATGTAGCATTGGCTTGATGTGAATTAGAGAGATTATTGAGCCAATCAACGTGTAACAGCCTCAGAGTGATTTTCACAGTTACATGTTCCACAACCCCTAACCCTACATGATTTTCCGGTACATGTAACACAACATGTGTTCTACATGTTACATGTCGTGAGAGCAGCTGGGTATAAAAATTGAAATTTGGTTGAGAGGCTGTCACTACCGTTCATATTCCATACCATCATTATCTGGAATTTTGATCATCACCACCTTCACATAGCATTAACCTCCATTCCACATCAAGATCCACCCACTCAAGAAACTTTGGGCCACTATCCCTTTCCAACTAAATCATGGGTGAGGCTGGACATTGTTCTATTGCATGGTAGAGCCATATTGATTCACCTATGAAATTTCAGACTCATCTTCCCAGAGTCAGATGGGTGTATGGCCTAACGGTGGACCTCGCAAAAGTCGTAAAGCTAAAAACAGGGCCTGGAGCAATATTCTACCTTCTTCAAAGGGTCCAGACTGTCGATCATATGCTGACTTCACCAGATCAATGCTTGGCTACACCACCAAAAACCCAGAATTTCCTGATCCACCATCTATGATCGAAATTGTCAGCCTTCCTCCACTTACAAAGGAAGCCATCTTCCATGATTCTTCAGTGTTTACATTGTACAACTCTTCCACCCATTCCGACCCAACCTGCAACTGGGTGCCATTCAAGGCACTTCTCGAGGCTGATCTTTCAAGACACTCAATCCATCGATACACATTTCAATGGGATGCGTTTAATGGGGAAGACAGCGAATGGAATCAAATAATGATATATTTCACTGTGAAACATTGGAAATTTGCCAAAAATGCTTCTGCTTTTGACGGGTATGGACTGGATCTTGATCAAGATAAAGAAATCATCCAAATCGGTATTGTGACTCGCTGGCTGTGTGGGAAAATTGAGCAGATCAAGAATGGGTTTAACGAAGATTCCAAAGTTAGACAGAGGTACAGGACTAGGAAAAAACGAGAAGTATGTCACCAGACATTTCCTGATGATCACTTTGAGCTGATCACATTTTTGACAACAGCTTTGGGAATATCGCCGAGAAACTCTCACAAGACATCTTCCCGAATATCTTGACCTCCTACCCAATGCCGACTGTTGTTCAGAAACTGAAGATAACCCTCAAGTTGCAGTTCAGCGATCCATTCGTCCTTACTGGCGCAGTGAAAAGTACGGCAACTGGATCCATGAAATCGATGGGCTTTCCTATGATCATCAAGCCAGTGTTATGCGAAGATTACACGCAGCAAGACGATTTGATACTCATCGCCAGGAAGGAAGCACAATCAACCCTCTTTCCAAGGTGTGTGCTGGGCTGCCAGAAGACTGTTATGATAGTACTTTCCTCACTCAACATAATGAGCTTGCTAGACATAGTTTAAGAATCATATCCAATGTGAACCACCTTGACAACGCTCTGACTGCTATTGCTGCCCGTCGTATCTAACTTAAATAACCTTCACCACTCACCTATCCCTTGTCAACACCCACTTTTACTGAACACTCTATACATTATTGGCCTCCGCGCACCTAAGATGCTTTTTTTGTGTCAAACATTATGCCCTTCCATTTACATGACTTTTGGGAGTATGAGATGTAGATCTCTCCTGGTTTCTTTTTGTAAGTGCTATGTGGGTGGTTCAAAATTAGGATGCTGTGTCGGATGTCTCCAGGGCCAGACAGGTGAACTTATGTGTGAGTCAAGTTATTCAC